ATTTTGACATTTTACATATTAAAACACCTACTTACTTAATAGGGGGAAAAAGGAAACATTATAATAGTAATTCAGATTCATTTAAGTTTTAAAGCAAAAAATAAAACCAAACATTTAAATTTTGTAAACTACATAGAACTCTGTAAATGCAGACCTGCATACCAAAACTGCCAATTGCCTGAATTTCAGATCTTTCATGTTTTACTTAGAATACTGACACATTTTAATAAACCTCAAAATTCAATGATCATCATAATACATGATAAAAATGGGTACATTTTCTAATTACAAAACTGAGAAGATACAATGTGAAAACTATTTAACTTTAAAATTGTTTTCTCTATGTGCCTTTTTGTTTGGTTACCTGAATTGTTTGCAGATTCGTTAGCAGTAAGTTTTGTCCTCTTTGTTCAGCTAACAAAGACTCTCTTTGCTGAGACAGACGAACTTCTGACAATTTAAGCATTTCCTTTTCTTTTTTCAAATTTTCTGCTCTTACCTTGAGGAAAATACAAATGAAAAGATTGTTGGAAAACAATGTGTCAAATGTAATATAGTAATACAATTACAAAATTAAAGTGATCCTTCATTAATACATATTCTTAATGCTAATTGAGTCTATACCTTTCCATTATATAAAAAAAATAACTTATTTTCATATGTCGAAATATGAAGCAAAAATAGCAGTGAACACCAACAGATCAAAGGAAAAAGTCTTGTGATTACCATAAATTCATATAATTCTTTGCCCTAACAAATCAGACCTTAATACAAAAATAAAATAAAATAAATTCCAGAGTAAAAGAACAACTGCAAGATTATGCTAGTCTACTTGCGTTACGTTATGCAAGTTTTAGAAAGTAGTGTGGTTACTATCCGTTTGAGAGTGCTGACTTAAACTTTTTTCCCCATGACAAGTACACTCTGAATCTCAGGGGATTTTGGAGGGTGATTTGAAGATCAATACCCTCAAAGTATTCATATTTACATAAGTCATAAACTATCAATCATAAAACTAACTCCACCAGTCGGAAAAAGGGCATTCCCCACAAAGGTATGGGAGCAAGATAAAAATAAAATATAGCCAACAGATACAGAAAACTGTGGTTTAAGTCCCAACCAACTCATATCATATGACTGCCCCAAAATAGGCAAATTACTTAGCTTTTGAATCTATTTCTCAACAAGTAAAGTGGGAGACAACTTTACCTACTTCATAAGTAGTGATCAAAAGTTGAGAGCATGAGTCCTAGCTGGGCTGCTCAGTAGTTAAAGCATTGGCCTGCACACCATCGGTCACAGGTTAGATTCCCCAGTCCAAGTTGGGGCACATGTGGGAGGCAACCAATCAATGTTTCTGCTTCTCTCTCCGCCACTCTCACTAAAGATCAATGGAAAAAGTATCCTCAGGTGAGGATTAGCCAAACAAAACAAGTTGAGAAGACTTCATAAAAAAGCAAAACCCTTATTACATAAGAATTAGTCATCAAATAATTCAGTTGATAGACATTTATATTCATGCTGAAATTCAGAAATATAATACAATGCTAATGTAATTTTATACTTTTTTAGAAATGAGCAAGAACGGATAAAATATTCATTTGTCTTTGTTGTAGCTACAGTGATTTACAATTTTGAAATGGATGACTTGTGAAAAAAATCTCAGTACAAAAAACAAATTTCTTTCCCCTATACTAGCCGTGGAGCTACATGCGGCTTTTTGGCCCCTTGAGTGTGGCTTTTCCACAAAATACTACGTGCAGGCGCACGTACAGTGCAATTCAAACTTCGTGGCCCATGCGCAGAAGTCGGTTTTCATGGGCGAGTCTATTTTGAAGAAGTATTGTTGATATTTGGCTCTGTTGAGTAATGAGTTTGCTGACCACTGCCCTATAGAAGCACCCAACTGATGAACAACTAGATACTGTTGACATTTCAAAAACCAGGCAATTAGGGGCACCAACTAGCTACACAGATGAAAATCCACGAGTAATTTAAGTTGGCCCTCCACTTACCGCAGTGGTTCCCAACCGTGGCTGCACATTAGAATCACCTGGGAATCTTTTTAAAATTCTGGTTTCTGGGCCTCATCCTCTGGAAATTCTGTTTCTTTGTTACTAAAGTTGTGGCCCCACCCCATAACAAAGAAACAGAATTTCCGGAGGATGAAGCCCAGAAATCAAAAGATTCCCAGGTGATTCTAATGTGCAGCCAAAGTTGAGAACCACTGACCTACAGATTCCCAGTCTTGGATTCTAACTACTATTTTTTTTTTTAAATTTTATTTTCATTGATTTCAGAGAGGAAGGGCAAGGGAGAGATAGAAACATCAATGATGAATCATTAATCGGCTGCCCCCTGCACACCCTCTACTGGGATCGAGCCCGTAACCTGGGCATGTGCCCTTGGCCAGAATCGAACTTGGTACCCTTCAGTCTGCAGGCCAATGCTCTATCCACTGAGCCAAAACAGCTAGGGCGGTCCTAACTATTATGGACCCTTTAACAAACATGGGTTTGAATTGCACAAGTTTACTTATACTGGGCCTACATATATGCAGATTTATGGATAAGTGGACCTGTGCAGTTCAAACCTTGATCAAGGACTTGTAATACACAAACTTCTCAAATATCTATGTCATACCAACCAGTAAAATTAAACAACTAAAAAACAAATGTCAAATGCAATTCATAATGCAAATCATATGAGAAAAATTGCTCTCACTTCTGCAACAGCTAGCTTTTCATTTGATCCTCTCAAATCTTGCGTCATTGTGTTGATGATCTGTTCCTGCTTTTGAGTTGTTGCAGTGAGTTTCTGATTTCTCTCATGCAGGGATGTTATTTCTCGGCGATATCCTTCAACGTTATCTTGTAACATCTCATAACTTGTATGAAAGAAAAATAATTCATTAAGACGTAAGTCATAAACTATCAACCATAAAACTCCACCAGTCTGAAAAAGTGCATTCCCCACACTGTAATACACTGAAATACTACAGCCTAGCTTAATACCTTAAAGAACTTCACATTAGCTTAATTTTAAGTAAGTATACATAAAAGTGGCTTTATAAAAATGTAACACCTTCATACTTTTTTCTAAACTCCAAAATCAGCAGTTAAATCCAAATACTAAATAAGCATAGTATTTCATGCTGAATGAACTTTTTAATCTTATACATTTACAAGAATTTTAATTAGAAATGCCAATACAATGTTGACACAACCAGACACCCACCACAATGCAGTACACAATTTTAGATAAGGATGCATGGTTCGTGATAGATTTTTGCCATTCTTTTCTCCTCTATAACTGATCTTACTTTCTTTTTTTAACGAATGAATTTATTTTTTTGAGAGAGAAAAAGGGAGAGCAAAAGAGAAACATTGATGTGAGAAAGAAAACATAGATCAGTTGCTCTCTACACACACTCCAATGGGGGATTAACCATGTAGCCTTGCTATGTGCCCTGATTAGGAATCAAACCCGCCACTTGTGGCTCCAACCTACTGAGCCACATGGCCAGGGCTCATCTTACTAAGTACCTGAAATCTTAGAAAATAGCTGGCTAGAACTATGAAAGTAGTGAGAAAAGGATGCTTTTATTTGGAATAACAAACTTGGAATTTATCCTAACAAAAACATAGTTTTATCATGTAATACAGGCATATCTCATTTTATTGCGCCTTGAAGTACTGCATTTCATGAACACAAAGGCAAGACCCTCCACCAGCAAAAGATCATGACTTGAAGGCTCAGATGACAGTTAGCATTTTAAAGCAATACAGTATTTAAAAAAAATTTTTTAAATTGATTTCAGAGAGGCAGAGAGAGGGATAGATAGAAACATCAATGATGAGAATCACTGATCGGCTGCCTGCATGCCCTACACAGGGGATTGAGCCTGCAAGCTGGGCATATGGTCTGACCAGGAATCAAACCGTGACCTCCTGGGTCATAGGTCGATACGCAACCACTGAGCAACGCTGGCCAGGCAGCAATAAAAAATTTTTAAATTAAGGTATGTACATTTTTTTAGACATAATGCTATTGCACACTTAACACATTAGCAGGGGTCCTCAAACTATGGCCCGCGGACCACATGCAAATATAAATATTGTATTTGTTCCCATTTGTTTTTTTACTTCAAAATATGTGCAGTGTGCATAGGAATTAGTTCATAGGTTTTTTTTTTTAAACTATAGTCCGGCCCTCCAACGGTCTAAGGGACAGTGAACTGGCCCCCTGTTTAAAAAGTTTGAGGACCCCTGCATTACAGTGTAAGTATAACTTTTATCCACTGGGAAATCAAACAATTCGTGTGACTTGCTTTAATGCAGTATTTTTTTCATCACAATGGTCTGAAATTTAACCAGGAACATCTCCAAGGTATGCCTGCATTCACAGAGATAAAATTTGTCCTATTTGTTAAGCTAACAAGTATTCAATGATTCTAACAACTATGGAATGAAATTTATTATTCCTTTGTAAGTGGCCAAGAAAATGAATTTTCCCAAAATTAACTATCTAGTACCTGCTTATCTCCTACCTAAAATAGCAAAGGCTGAATAAAATTGGCTCACATTACGCCTCATGCTCTGGTGCATTTATAAAATAATAAAGTCCTACAGAAACATTATGCCTTTCTACCTCAGGAAGGAAAACTAGCAACATTCCTCACATGAACTTCAGCTTTAAATAACTATCTGGATCCCTTAGCAATGCCCCTGAGAATCATTAACCAATATTAAAAATGAACCCCCATACCTTTTCATCTGAATTATGGCCCACAAAAAAGTACTACTGCAAATTAAGCCTTGAATTTGTTTCATTTGAACACTGAAGTATTCTTAATTTTTTTTGATAACCTAAATGTGATTTCTTTTTTTAAATTGAACTGATTGGGGTTACATTGGTTAGTAAAAATATACAGGTTTTAAGTATATAATTCTATGATACATCACCTGTTTATTGTATTGTGTGCCCACCACCCAATGTCAAAAAGGATGGAATGCTTCACATATTTGAGAGTCATCCCTTGTGCAGAAGTCATGATAATCTCTTTGTCATTCCAACTTATTATATATGCTGCTGAAGAGAGCTCTACATTTCATTAATTTTTGAACAAACAAAAATTTACCGTTTAGAAGCAAAATCTAGCTGGGTAGAAATTTTGGTGTTTTGTGATCGCAAATCTGTGACTTGCTCCTGTAGTTTCTCAAGCTGCTCATTCTGTATTTTCTCATTATCTGCCTTTTCTTTTTTGTAGTTCTCAAAAATTTCCTGCAACTAAATATTAAGAGAAATTATTAGAAGATGACACTGTTCTCGAATACCTAATCCAAGATAATAAAGGTGTGTGGCCTTTACCTGTTTAAGGGCAGCCTTAGCTTCTATAGCCTCTGCTGACTCAATTATAGGTACTGTAGCAGGAGTGGAAACAGTCTGTGATGTACTTGAACGTTTTGGAGTTGACACAACAGAACTATCCTCTAAGCTTGAAGCTTCAGAAATGTAAAATACACACATAAAAAACATTTCTTTGTAAATACATCATTTAAATAAAATCATAGGTTACAGAAATTATGAAACAAGGAATTTACTAAATAGCCTATTAAGATTATTGTTGGTTTCTCATTAGGTATATTTGCAGATTAAATGTTAAAACCAAATGACCAAAATAAAGATAATTCACTGATTTTAAGATGCACACGTTTCACCAATGGTCAGCTTTCTTCTTTTTTAATACCTAAAATAATGGTATTTAGGATCGATGATCTGTTATAATCAATCATATATGGTAGTCATATTTGAAGTTACCATACATACTGCTTACATTCCAAAATCCATTCCCTAAGATACATTTCATAAAATTTCCCCCCAAATACTTAGAAACTTTTAACACATAAAAAACCTACCTTGTAAAGGAATGACAACTCCTGTTGTTTGTGACAACAAAATACGGTACATATCACGCTGACGAACTATAGAATCAACAAGCTGCATCTGATGTTGTCGTGACCCACGGAGTTGTTCCAATTCAGTGAGGGCGCTCTCAAGTTTGAGCTGAAGCTCAGTAATTCTACAAAACCAAATCAAACAAACAAAACCAAACCAAACAAAAATCTGTCTATTTCACTGAGCTTAAGAAGCAGTTATAATTTCTACTGTATATACAGACTAAGTATTTGAGCATTTATCATTAAGTGTAACATTTTTGTTTCTTGTGTGACCTTTCTTCTACTGATATTATAAGAACTGCTTCTAAAGCCCCATCACAGGACTCAGGCACTCACCACTGTCATCTGAAAAATTTTTTTGCAAAAATTAAACCGATTCCACTCAGTCTTAACTGTAGTCTTGTGTTCACAGCCATTCTTCCTCCTCTAGCACCAAGCACATTAACAAAAAAAAAAAATTCTTTACTCTGCCTAAATAATTCCTACATATCTTGCCCATGAAGCCTGGTCTATTCTCTAAAATCTAGGCTCTGCCCTCCATCTCTATGCTCCCAGGAGTAGGCTTTTATCTATTACCAGTGGCCAGGTGCACTAACTCGTGTACATGGAAAGGAAATTAGGAGAAATATTTTAATATTGCTATCCGCCCTTTCTCTGTAATAGAAGTGTCAACCAAATTCACGACTGACAGAAACAGATGGATACACATGCATGCCACTGGTGCCAGCGAGAGCTTTGTATTTATCGCACATGTGTGAGTCAACTTAGCATTTTATATATATAGAATAAACTTGCTTAATTAGACCAGCTTTCTGATTTAGCTAAACTTTTTCCAGCCCAGTGAAGCATCCCAACTTCTCTCCAGGTAACTGTCAGCAACACAGCAGTAAATATCAACACGAAGCAGATTATTATTGTAGATCACGCAGGAAGAACACAGGGTGAAATATTTAACTGCACCAGTGTTTGACTATATTCTGTGCAGTGAGAAAATCTGGTCATTTTCAAGGTTCACAATTTCTTATTACTTCTTTTCAGTTGGGTCAAGTTTCTAAACTATCTAAATCTCCGTTTTCCGGCAACTGAAAAGAAAATAGGATTCCACCGAGTCTCCTATCTACCTACTTCAGGACTTCTGTGAGGACCAAATGAGATGAGGTATGGGAAAATGCTTCACAGAAATTTGATAAAAGTGTAAAATTTTTCTAGCTAGTTGTGTTCCTGGGCTAAGAAACGCCAAGGAGGCTAGTCGCTAGGGAGAGGAAGCTGGGTGTTGCTACCTGACACCCACAGTGACCGTTGCTGGGCTGGGCTGGGCTTTGGGCTGCATTTTGCACAGGGGGTCTTGGCAGCATCAGCTGCGATTTGGTGGGCTGTTGCTCCGGGGTGGTGGCGGGGCCCGTGTCCCAAATGGGTAAGCTGAGTGTTGGTTTGTCGGTGCCAGGTCCACGGTGCTGTTTCTCTGTAAATGGCCACTGCGCATCATGGCAGCTCCTGTGTTGTCTGCTCCCTGGTGGTCAGTGTGTGTCATAGCGACTGATTGGATGGTCAGACACTTAGCATATTAGCCCTTTATATATATATATAGATAGCTTTAATCACACTGAACTAAAATTATCCATTTATTCATCTAATTATTGAGCTCATCCACACACTCAGGTCCCTGAGAAAATTATTATTTTTTGTATTATTGCTCCATTTTTCCTCTCTCCTAAATCACTATTTTCCCTATATCCAGCACTGTTAGGGGGTACATAAGAAGTTTTCAATGTTTGCTAAACAAATGAAGGTAGCCAAACTTACTTGGATGAAGTTGTTTCTTGTTCTTCTCTTTCTTTGGTTTCCCCAAGTTCCCTAAGAGCCACTAAGAGACGCTGATTTTGTTGTTGAAGTTCTTCGATATTTCTATAAGATACTAGATGCTGTGATATTACTTCAGACGAACTGCTTATATCCGCAGAGCTTACTTCCTCATCACGGATTACATGATTACCCCTTGCTTCTTCAAGTTCCATCAAAAGCACTCTAATCTAAAAACAAAGTTTTAATATATTATCAAATAGTATTAGCTTCAATTCTGGAAAAAATGGAAATTTTCAAATGAAAAGGTTACTCCATATACACCATCAACTTATATTAAATTATCTTAAAGTATCAAGCATATGTTTAAGAGATTAAAAACTGAAAAAATGTTTAAAATTATTTTCATTTCTGTAGCAGTGTATAATGAAGGCTGTTATTTTAAAAAAGCAGCCAAATTACAATTTCAGAAGCACGGCTGGCTCAATTTGTTGTAAAACAATGACCCAATAAGATACACAGAAATACTTATTGTGTGTACAAGTATGTGCTTGCACTTGCATTCTTATGCATGTTTTATATAATGGAGAAGAGCATGAAAAATAGGTTTTAATCCCTTTCATGTAAAATTTTTGTATTGTGTTTATGTGTGTAGACCTACAAACAAAAATTAGGGTAAAATACATGAACAAAAATAGATGTACATTTCCTGACAAGTTCAGTTAAAAAAAAAAAAGTGGCAGAGTAATGTTCTACTATATCAGTAAAAACAAAGAAAACTAATGTATGTTTACATATGCTCATGTGTGTTTATACATATAAAAAGAATGACATGAAAAAATATACAGAAGTCTGTAATTTGGTTATATTCTGGGACAGGAGTAGGGGGAAATAATTTTTTAAAAATCTTTGAATTATTTCATGTATCACAACTGGTACCTATAATTTCAAAATTTATCAAACACTTAAAGACAAAAGGAAAAAAGGGAGGGGTTGTAAAAGAATAATGACTAGGCTGCAATTCTGCTAGAGTAGTATTCCTAATTGATGAGAATTTCAAATGCGGTAGGTCTCTCTTAGGTAACTGCAAACAGATTCAGGCATTATCAGACTGTCAGTTTAAGGGGAAAAATAGAAAAAGAAACAAAAACTTCTAACCTGTTGTGAAAGATCTTTTACTTGTATTTCCATTCTCTGGTTGTCCCTTTCAAGCACAGATGAATGTTTGTTGGCTTTGTCAGTGTCCTCCTGCAATCGCTGAATCTCCTTCAAAATGTAAATTCAAATGAAAACTCTGTATTTCCTTCTAAGAGCTATACAAATGAAGCAGCTATGCAAATAACAAAAATATATAGTGCTCAAATACTACAGCAATCAAATTATAAACTAAAAATATTCTATAATATATCCAATAGTATAGTAGCCCCTAAAGAGATATTCTTTATAAATATGAACATACGTATTTAATATCTCAAAGATAGCTCATCACTATATGAAAAGTATGGGCAATGTGCCACTCCCCCCAAATTAACTGTCAATTACAATTTTATATCCACATCAAATTCAAATGACACCACGTAAATAATCTCAAAAGTTTTGTTACTAATACAAAAACAAAGAACTACATTACAATAATCATTATTGCACTGGTTATCTGAAAATATCAATTAAGTAAAACATGTTGTGTAAGATGCATAAAAGACTTGATTTTATTTAAAAATGCATTAAGAATGAATTCTAAAGAATCGGTTGCCAAAGTCACAAGCTTGTAAAACAAAATAAAACAAAGCGATAGTAAGTATATGCAGTGCTTTGCAAAATTTGGCACCATAGTCTCATTAGGGAATTTGAGGCACAGTTGTTAAGGAGCCTGATATAAACACAGTCTCTTTTAAATGTTGCGTTACCTCAAATTCACACAGTTTGCTTCCTAATATGTTATTTTCACATTTCACATAAAAATTTTAAAAATTGAATGAAAGATGGCTCATATTTATCCTGGTGTTTCAAGTATTTCTGAGCACAGTGCCCTACAGACCTGCATAAGCCAATTTCAAAAGACACAAGTATGTGGCAAATGAAGCAGGCAAATTTCATGAACTATGACAATAATACAAATTTACTGAATTCAAAATGGGACTGAGATGTCAAGGAAGGAAGTTATTGATAATAGTAAAAGCATAATATGCTAATTAGACTGGACATCCTTCCGGGACGAAGCCGGGGCTGCAGCCACAGGATCAAGGCAGCTGCCCCGGCTGCGAGGGAGGGATCCAGGCAGCCGCAGCAGCAAAGACCTACTCTTGCATGAATTTCATGCATTGGGCCTCTAAGTTTGGTTA